TATTATATATTGGCAAAAAAATTTCGATTAAGTATTTTTGTTAAGGACCCCACAACCATTTCTATAAAATGTAAGTGGAGCAAACAGAAGTGTCTACAGTACACAGATGGAACCAAAAATAGAAAATTCTGAACCATATTTCCGTCTAAAAACAAAAGTTAGTTTCTGTCTTACATTTTTAGAAGTTTTCTTCCACTTGCAAGGCTCAGACGTGCATGAAGGCTTTTCCTGATCTGTTTTTAAACTCTTTTCAATGAAAAAGAGAGTTGCTCCCACGTGTGAGCAAGCTTCTCCCAATCTGAAAAAAAAAACATTCGTAAAATGTTATTATCTTCGCTGGCCATTTTTTAAACAATTAATATTAAATAAAATTGAAAGTGTCGATTTAGAGAACTAATTTAAGTTATGCAAATAGAGGAATATTTTGATATGCACAGATATGCTGCAAACCAGTAGCACAAATATAATCTGACAGATTGCATTAGAGTAAATCACAGGAGTTGAAGTTCAATTTTACCCCCTTAATATTATTAAAAAACAAACATCAGCACACATATACACCAGGTGGCAGTTACACAATAAATTATAATTACTACCAGAACAATCTAAATTGAAATATCTATAAAGTTTCAGGAAATCTTGAGCATTAGTTCCTGAATTAAAGATTATTCTGCCTGCGATGTTGCCCTGAGATTATTCTGCCACAAATAAGAATATGGAAATCTCCCTAAATTATCTTCTGGAAAATATTCAGTATACATTTACTTAGCATTTCTATAACAGTCAATACTAAAAAATAGCAAAATCAATCTGAATATTCATAATATAAAAAAATATAGCAACGTTAAAAGGTTTAAAAACCCAATAGTGCACATAATGGAAATAGAGTTTTAAATTTCAATTACTAAACAAATATTATTATGAATGTAGGTTGCAATTTAAAACCTACACTCTAAAAACTATTTGTAAGATTAGCAATGTTACAAACTTAACAGAAAATGTTTTCATAAACAAATTATACTTACCCAGCCATACAAGTGCAATGGCCAGAAATTATTTCTCCAGCATGTGTAGAGATTATCCACGGCATGTGGATTTTATTTGTTTTCTGACCCGCTTCAACATCTGCTGTTAGAACACAAACACCGATTTCGTTTCGAAAGCATTTCACGTTATGAACTTTTCCGGACGTAACGTAATTGTAACTTGGAAGAGTTTCAAAACTTTTAAAAGCAATTTGAGAATACACTTTGTGCTTTACTACGAAATACGAATAAATGTCAAAAACACTTATATTTGGCCAATTTTTGCTGGAGAAAACCAGGCTTCGTACGTCAGCATCTAATGGATCCGGCAACTGAATACCATTATAGTTTAATCTATTTACGTAATTTTTCTTCGCATATTCATTCAACATTTGAAAATATGAAGAGCTCATTTTCACAACAAAAAAAAACAGAAAATAGAACGCATTCAAAGTAAGAACTATTTATCTACCGATGTAAACAGAGCATCAAAAAAAGAAATAGTCACGTTATGCTGTGACGTCATGGAGGAGCCCAAGACTTCCGGTATGGTTTTTTTTTTTTTTTAGGATCGATGGTGAATAAAGAACTATAACAAAACTAGACTTCTTTCGAGCAATGTTCAGATTAGAACTGTGAATTCAGAGTTGAAATTTTTGTTTTGCTCTGAAATTTCTTTTAAAATTGATAAGCAACATTTTAAAAACCCTTTTTATATTTCTGAATTTGCACATGGCAATTTTGATGCTATAGTGGGCTATGACTTCATTTCCAAACATGAT